TGGCCGCTGAGCCTGCGCGTCCGGAGCCTGTGCTCCGCAACGGGAGAGGCCACAACAGTGGGAGGCCCGCGTACCGAAAAAAAAAAAAAAAAAAAGTATAAAAAAAATATGACACCAGTGAACTTATCTGTGAAACAGGAACAGACTCACAGACATAGAGAACAGACTTGTAGTTGCCAAGGCAGGGGTCGGGGAGAGAGGGACTGGGAGTTTGGGGTTAGCAAATGCAAACTATTACATATAGAATGGATAAACAACAAGGTCCTAATGTATAGCACAGGGAACTATATTCAATATCCTGAGATAAACAATAATGGAAAAGAATATAAAAAAGAATGTATATACGTATAACTGAATCACTTTGCTGGACAGCAGAAACACAACATTGTAAATCAACTATACTTCAATAAAAAAAGTAAAAAATAAAATTTTGGTCTTTTCCTTACCCAAGAGGGCCAAGAAGAACTATGGGCATGGCCTGAAATTTTATTCATTGAGGAGAAGAATGGATTCACAGGGTTAATGTGTCAGGACAACAGTGAGAAAAACATAAAGTTGCTTTTGTTCATGTCTTACTAGGTCTAGCTCACTCTTTATACTAGATCATTATCAGGTAGATAGTAATACCATTCATGTCCTAAGCACTTACTATATTCCAAGCACTATTATAAACACCTTAGATCTCTTAGTTTATTTAATCTTAGCAGCAGCTCTGTGATGTAAATCATATAATTCTTGTACTGGAAGTGAGAAAACTGAGGCATAAAGAGGCTAAGAGATCTATACAATGTCACAGCTAGAGATTGTGGTGTCAAGATTCAGACCTGGGCATTGGGCAGCAGAGTCCATACCTTTGCCCATGTCATGATTCCCAAGCAGGTGCTCAAGAAATACTTATTTCTTGATTTTGTAGGGTGGGGATGAGAGTAAAATAAAAACGAAGGAGAAGAAGGGAGAATAATGGAAGAGAGGGAAGGTAATAAGAGAGTGGGAGGAGATACGAGAGAATGACAGAGGACCCCACTCAGCCTCGAATGATACCCTGGAAAAAACCACCATATCCCTAAGGAGGAAGATAGTGTATCTCGTATATGCAGCGATTGAAAGGCAAAGATGTGAGTATCTCATATAATAGCTTTGGAGCATACCTAAGAATTGCATAGTTTGGGATCAATAGAAAATATTGATTTTCCTCCCTAATCTAACCCAATTTAGAAGCTCCACTGCTTTGCGAAGAAAATGACACTGAAAATAGCAACACAATAACAACAGCAAATGAGATGAACTGACAAGTGTTGGTTTAGCAAGTACTAATTATGTAAAGATTCTCATTAAATGTTGTTCTGGCTTACTTAAACAGAAATGGTGGTCATGTGTTCTAAGTCCAAATCTAAAGAAAGCAAGACAAAACAAACAAAAACAA